TACCATTTTGCCCTTTACTTTTTTTATTTTGTATTTTATATATTTACAATTTTTACTGTCACTTTTATTCAATTTAATGCATAAAATAATTAATATGAGCTGTTCACTTCTGATTTAATGCTTTGACCCACAGATACAGCTTAACTTGTTTGAACCTTCCTTTTACCCAGCTAACAGGGAACTTCTCACAACCTTCACAAACTTTAAAAAAAGTTAATAAATAAAAAAATGTTAGGACAAAACATTCTTAAAATAATGTTTATGGAATGTTCTTATAACTTTATGAATATTTTTTAAACGTTCTGATAATGCTGAGAGAAATCGTTCTTAGAACAACAATCTCAAAACGTCCTTTCGATGATATTTGTACTTGTTGAACATTCATAACAGCAAATTTAATAACAAGAAAACTGGACATTTGAACATTTTAGAATATTAAAAATAAATGTTCAAATAACAATATATTTTGGTTAAAGTTAGTAGAATGCGGTAAGAAACCTTCTTCTAACCCTTTATGACATGATCACAATCACAACAAGAAAACTGGACATTGTAATGTTCTTAGATTATAAAAAAAAAAAAAACATTCAAATAACATTAGATTTTGGGTGAAAATAAACTTAGTTGTAAGAAATGTTTTTATAGCCTACATTTGTTACCTGGGTAAGCTTTCTTCCAAGTTCAGACTGTTAAAACATGTCAGTGCGCTCTGCTAAGTGTATATACTGTATATATATATAGATAGATAGATAGATAGATACAGTATATAGAACGTTGCTAGGGTGCTCTGAGTGGTTGCTAGGGCATTGCTTAAGTGTTTTGCGTGGTTGAAAGACATTTGTTAGAGAGTTCTGGGAATAATTAGCCTTGGAATAATTCTTACTAATCACTCTGATGTTACGCTGATAGGATTTCCAGTAAGGGGTAGACTGTGCACATCTTCTGAGAAGTGTGACTCAAGTTTTCTTTTCACTTCTAACAAATCATTTTTAAGTGGGGAGGGTGTTAGAAGAAGCTAAGAGAAGATCTCAGGGTGTTAGCCTGGAGATACTGTAGTTATTCAGGCTAAAAGTATCCTATAGTGGGTGGAGTGGGTGATGACAGATGAATGGTTTAATGGAACGTCCTCATGCATTCTTAAATCGTCAGGTTATCGGATGAGATGCCTGAACACTGGAGACAGACGGCAGATTCCTTTTTGATCTTTGTGCTCAGTTCTCCAGGGATCCTGACCTATGAACAGACTGGAACTGACTCTCCTTGAATTGAATATACTCATATGTAAAAAGAAATGAGCATGTGCACCATCGCAGATTGCTTTAATTCAGCAGTGAGTAATGGATCTCCATCATGGTATTGCGCACACTTTATGAGTGAGTTCTGGCTTGTGTGACGTTTTTGGCTTGTACGTATGTTTATACAGGCCTTTACCATTTTATATCTGTCAGAGCTTTACCGATGTCAGTAAGCACTTAATAGTTTCTACTTTACCTAACGGCGGTCTTATGACCTTGTGCTTTGACGTTCATTAATATCATAAACCCATATAAAACCTTGCTGGTGCTGCAGAAACGTTAACAAGACCACATCAGAGTGAGTTAAGCCTTGGAAAATACATACTGAGAGAGACCATCTGAGCTTTCAGCTTTTTATTTCATGGCCTTGAGTCACTCCGTCAAAACTCTCTTGTGGTTTCCAGACTCCTGTGACGGAAACCAACACACATTTCACAAACTTGCTGAAATCAGCTTTAGGGAGAAGGTGTAGGACGCTATAATGTCTGCAGAGAAGTCTGAGGCTAGACTTAAAAAGCAATTGAATATTTCTATTTCTGTTTCTATTCTAAAACAGGTACAGTTAACTAAAAACATATTAACATATTGACATTTTGCGTCAACATGCTGTGCTAAAGGCACATTTTCACACTAGGTTTAACAACAAATAGTTTATAGGCTATTCAGCAAAATGTAAATATGAACAAATAGTACTAAATTAGCCAAACACATTGTAAAAACAAATAAAAAATGATGTTAAATAGTAGTCATTTGCCTGAATTTATCCAGTGGGGTGTTGTGTTCATTTCTTTACCTTTTGGAGTAGCCTATTCATGTTGTCATTTTAGAGATTATTATTATTTCTATTAGATGTTTGCAACCAACATACAAAATCAGCGAATAAGCGGACTTTTAGATCAAAACCTTATAGTCATACTCTTGTTATACTTATGTTATAACATATAGCCTAATCACTTATAGCTGTCACTCTTGTGACAACTAGCCCCGTCTTCTCTAGGTGGATAGTCGAGCTTTGTTGAGTGAATTTGTGCGATAGAGCGCGACCTCTCATGGCTGCTACAGGAACTGCAGGACCGCTGCATTTAACAGCCAGATGGAAACTGAGAGACGAAAATACTGGAGGAAGGGAAGAAAGACAGAGGTTTGAACTTCCTGTATGTGTGTGTGAAGCCCTTCAGGTTTAAATTAAATTCGATCTCTTGAGAGCTTGTTGGTACATTGTGTTGCCCATTCAATGGTTTCATAACGAGACAGGAAATATCCTCCGCATACATCTTCATACAAAACTCCAAAAGTTGCACAACTCACCTGATCCAGCCCAATGAAAAGGTTTTTTTTCTCTTTTATATCTGTATTATCTTGTCACGTGTTTTGCATTCTTTCCTTGTAGTCCCTCCATCTGGATTGTGTTTTATGGATGGTTAGCGTACTACTACTACTACTACTACTACCACTACTACTAAGTTACTACTAATAGAAGAACCGGACATTAAAGGGGTCATATGATGCGATTTCAATTTTTCCTTTCTCTTTGGAGTGTTACAAGCACTTGGTGCATAAAGAAGATCTGTGAAGTTGCAAAGACTAAAGTCTCAAATCCAAAGAGATATTCTTTATAAAAGTTAAGAGTCAACCACACCTACCTAAAACGGCTCGTTCTAACACGCCCCCACATGTCTACGTCACTATGTGGGAAGATTTGCATAACGCCGCCCAAATGTTCACGCAAAGAAAGAAGGCGTAACTTTTATTCTCGCTGTAGTATTGCTGTTGTCGCCGCCGCCATGTCGTGAAGGCGCTGTGTGTTTCGTTGTGAAAGTGAAACTACTTTGTTTGGTCTTCCAAAAGAGGACGATATCCGCTTCGTCATGC